TTAATAAATAAACATGAATAAAAATTAAATTAAATTAAATTATTTTATTTATTTTTTATTCAGATTTTTATATTTTATTTATTTTACTAATATAATAGATAACGAAATCAAATACTTGAAAGGTGAGCAGCGGATTATACCGATCTGTCAAAACCGACCGAACCGAACAGAACCGATCCGCCGCATTTTGGATGGATGCGTGATGTCAAGCGAACGGTTGCGGATTGATTTCTCTAATCCACCAATTTGGCAGACGGATGACGGATTTGAGGTTCTTTAGCGCAACCAAACCGCCAAACCGCGAGTACCCTTAGTAATTTCTAAACCGCAAGTAATTTTCAATTTGTTTGAATATTTTGTTTGTATTTCAATTGAAAAGAGTTCAATATTCTGTTGAAAAAAAGTTTTTTAACTTGAATATATTTTTTGAATTAAAAAAAACATATTATTTTATTTATATTTTTGATTTTAAATCTAACTCTAAAAATAATAATAAAAATATAATATATGCTGGTTGGTTTTTGTTTTCAAAAATATATATAAATGTAACAATACATATACATACAATCTCTACTATTGCTTGTTTATGGTTTTGATTGTTGCATTGTTTTTATATTTTAAGAACCACAGATTGTAATATTTTATGTGGATGAAGCATGTTATAATTGTAATATGTGGATGAGGCATGCAGTGATTGTGAATTCTAAAGTTTCAAACTTTCTTTCTTTGATGAAACATGCAGTAATTGTAATACTTTTTTAAGTCATTAACTGTAATTTTTTTTTTTTTTTTTTTTGAGGAAGTGCGGTAGTTGAATTATGTTGAAAATTTATAAAATTTCAAACCGCCAAACCGATTCGCATCCATCCGCCAAACGGCCAATCCGCTCAATTCACATCCGCCGATTGGCGGACGGATGCGGATTAATTGTCTCCAATCCGCCAATCTGGCGGGCAGATGGCGAATTGAAGGTTTCATGGTCGCAACCGACCCGCGCCCACTCCTATATCGGGGTGTTTGGCAAGTTGAATTTTAGCATTTTTTGACTAAAATTTACGGAAGAATAAAATAGGCTAAAAAAGTTTCTCTTTTGAATTTTAGCCTATTTTATATAAAAGTAGGGCCTGAATAATTTTATTCATTGACATAAAATTGCTCTTTTGATTTTTTTTTCCTCCTTTTCATTATTGTGTCTTTTAGTTTTCATTTTAACAAACTTTTAAAGATTGAAAATGATGAAAGATTTGAGTAGTTTTCAAATTGTTTTCGTTTTTCACAAAATTCAACTCTTAAAGAAAAAAACACTAAGAATGCAAAAATAATCACCCACACATCTTCGTGTAATCTGAATTATATATGTATTTCTAGTACTACCGAATTTTAAATGACTAGCAATACCTTTAAATTGAATTGAAACATTGATATTTTGTTATTGGTTTGGGCATACAAAAGCTATTGTTCAAGACCATAGGATAATTTTTGTTTCCCTTGACCTAGGAGTGGTCTTTGATGGTCTTGAACAATCTTAGCTCACGTTTGCTAGGATCTTTGATGGTCCTGAACAATCTTAGCCTACGTTTATTTAGCAATTAAATTAGATGGGATTATAAGTACAGTAGAATTGAATAAAGAGAGTAGTAATGCGATAGTATTAAGTTAAAGATCTAAGATAAAATGTGTTTGTTTATGTAGTAATGTGATAATATTAATTGATTGGGATTAAATATATGAACTTCGATAATTACTTTTCTTCCATTATTGTAGTCATATAAGCTAAGGGATAAAATAATCTTTTACCCATTAATCCCATAGGAGCATCTTAATTCTATGTATTTTTAAGATTTGTTAGTCCTCTCATTGCGTAGGATTACTTCTCCAAGATGAATACTAATACCCCCCGCGCATTTCTTAAACATGGCATGAGTGGGGCCATCCTCATATTCTAATTCCCTTTTTCCAAACCTCCAATCAAACATGATCTTAGAATAATTCTTTATACTATTCACATTACGTTATTCGTATTTTATTTTTTTAAGAATTACATAAAATTCATGAGTTTTATTGTTGTAGGATTATTTTGAGAAGTGCTAAAAAAAAAACTAAATTTTTTTTACTTACTACAAAAAAAAATATATAAAAAGTAAATAAGTGATATGGTTTAAATAATTTAATAACTTAATAAGTCAACTTCTTCTGCACTTTCCAAAACAGGGCTAACACCACTCATTTTGAGACATTTGTCTTATTCTTTCCTAAAAAGCCAACCTAAATTCTAAACTATTTTAGCTAATACCATGGAAGATATTTGACTCCTTAAATTTTTTTTACAATTTTACCTACAAAAATATAAGAGAATAAATGTTAAATTTTAATTTGTTACATATTCAATCATGATCTAATGCTCATACCACATCATTATAAGTGAATTTATAAATTAAAAGTGTGAGTCTCTATCCTTACTCTAATAGAACCCAAGTAAAGACCTCACCTAAATTTGCCCTTGAACCGTCGTATAATTTTCCCTTGAATATTGACCAATTATAGTTTGACAAAGAGAGAATAGTATTTGGCCAGGAAATTTTAGTCCTGTTTTAGGTTAAAATTCAAAAATAAATAAATAAAATAAAATAGTTAATAACATAAAATATTACATCAAATTCATAATCATTTTATTTTTTCTCTCACAAACATCACATTTAATTATAAAAAAATTTAATCATATTTTCAAATATAAAAATTTTGGGATACTTACATGTAAGTCCTAATAAGTGGACTTACATAAAAAAATATAAGCTACTAATTGTAAGTTTTAATAATAATTTATAAAAATATAACCAAAAAATGTCACTATTTGTCAATTTTTAGAGATATATGTAAAAAATTATCACAAAAAAATTATTTTTAATAACAATTTTATTAAAACTTATTTTCAATAGAATTTGATAAAAATTAAGTCTAACTATTAAGTCTTATTAATAATTTATTATAAAATTTTAACCTATTAAAATAGTTAAAAACTAAAATAATAATCGACAATGCTACGTATCTTAAATTTTGTGGCTCAAAAGTGGCTCAAATGGCCAAAACGACGTCGTTTTGGCCATTTGAGCCACTTTTAAACCACAAAATTTAAGTTAAGAGACATTTTCCAATAATAATTTCTCAAAACACCCACTTTATGTCAACCTCCACCGATTTAACACGTAAAATCTGAACGTCCCACAATCCATCCCACTTATCACGGCATTACACGTGAAAGCCCGCGCTTTCACCCCTTTACCACCTAACTGCTACCTCCACGCGCCATAAAGAGAGTGTGGTCCCCACACAGAAACTCAACACTCAACTTGGGGTGATTTCATAATATTATGATTTTTTTATTTTTAATTTACAAAAGAATAAAATAATAAGTTTTCATTTTCTTGTACAAAATAAAAACATTTTTTTTCTGAGATACAAAAATATTTTTTAAAAAATTTAAAAAATATGTTTTGTGAATTATTGAATATTATAAGTGAGGTGAACATTAAAATTGATAATGTAAGTGTCATTGATTGCCAAGGCATGTTAGAGTTTATTTGTAGTCGATTAGTTGACACATGATACGAGATAGTGGTGGGTAGCTAGTGGTGAAAAGTGTGAAAATTTATTTTGAAAATAAATGGAAATACTTTTTTTTTCTTCAAAAATTTTAGAAAATTTTGAATTGTATTAAAAACGAAAACAATATATCAAGACTTTTTTTTAAAGAATGAAAGGAAAAAAAAATGAAAATGTTACTAACGTTGTATTTGATTCATAAATTTAAATAAAAATTAAGAAAATAAAAAAATTATATAAAATATAATTATTTTTTATTTTTTATTTTTTTCAAATTTCTCACTATATTCATCAACTAAACACAGGTTAAAAATACCTTAATCACCACGCTATTCGAGGCACGCGTGGTATATTATAACTTCAACAATCAACGATAGTTTCAACTCACAAGTTGCCCGTGGCAAACTTGTTTACTCCACACAGGTGTACAAGTAAAGAAATTATTCCTTGACCAGGGACAAATTAAGGTGATGCTTCGGACCTTGTTTGGAAATAAATTATTTTAATAATTTTTTAATTTTTTATAAAAAAAATATATAAAAAAGTAAAGAGAGATATGAAAATTTATAATAGTTTTTTGACTAAAATATATAATTGACAAATAAGACTTAAATTTAATTATTATTGATTGAAATAGTAGGTTCTATTACTTATTTGTCTCCTTTGGAATGATACTGAGTACTTGTCCAAATATGAATGAGATGGAGTAATGCTCCTGAGGCAATGAATAATTTTTTCCAAATTGATTGATGACACATAGAATTTTTTATTTTTTTGAGCCCATCTAAGAAAAAATTTCCCATCTAATATATATATCTTTAATTTGTATTTCTTTATTTTTAGTAATTTTAATTATTTTTTTTATTTTTATTTTTAGAATTTACTGAATCTAGATACACTTAAAAAATAAAATATTTGTGATTTTTTTTATAAAAAAAAAAAATCATAAATACAAAAATGTCTTGAATTTTTTAATTCTCAATTACTTTAAAAAATTCATAAATTTTATTTTTTTAAGTGTATTTAGATTAAGTCAATTTAAAAAGTAGAAAAAATTAATTAAAAATTTTACTAAACAAAAATATGGATTGAAAACTCAAAAAAATATTTTTAAGAACTTAAAATCAAACTATTTTTCTCAAAATTCTCATATATCAAAAATTTTACATAATCCAATAATTATGAGTGCCTCACTTTTTATATATAAAATCTACTACTCAATGAACTTTGTCACATCTTTTTCATGACTTCCTCACTTTTTTATTTGAAATTTCAAATTCAAAATTTTATTAATTTTCTTTTTCCCTTCATCTGCATTTTTTTAGTCAATCAGTAAAAAAATCAACAAATTAATTTTTATAGTACACCTACTAGATATACTATATAACAGTAACATTGGGGGAGAGAGAGAGCTTGATTTCTTTTCCCTCTCCTCTTCCATCTATTTGAAAAAAAGTTTGTCCTTGCCATCATCATCCTTGGCTCTGGCTTCACCAAAGTTCTTCTTTGCAAGAACCAAGAGAAAGGAACCAACTCCATGGAAGATGAAACAGAGCTTTCCAACAAGGCATTGTATTCCTCAACCCATGAACAAGAAGTTGTGGAATTGAAGAGCTTTAGATCAATCCTCACATGGGTATGTCTAGACCAGTCCAATCTATGGAGGGCTGGTCTCTCAGGCTCAATCTTCTTTGTTCTTGTCATTGTAGTCCCTCTTGTCTCTCACTTTGTCTTCTCATGCTCGAGCTGCGATGCGAAGCACCAGAGACCTTATGATGCAATTGTTCAGTTGTCTCTATCTGTGGTTGCAACACTTTCATTCTATTGTCTCTCTTCTTTTGCCAATCAGTATGGACTTAAAAAGTTTTTGTTTCTTGATAAATTGAGTGAAGCTAGTGAGAAGGTGAGGCAAGGGTATACTCAACAGCTCCATGTATGTTACCTCTTCTTTCTTTCTCTTTCTCTCATTATTATTTTTAAGATATAATGATACGTGCATAGAAATTCGAAAAATCAATGAATGACCCAATTTTTGTTGTCATTATTATCATTTTATCATTATTTTGTGAAAAAACTTTCATGATTTGCCACTCTATTCTTATTTTTTTCCAATTTTTAAGCATATAACCTATTTATTGGACGGAGAGATGGTTAAGAGCATCTCCAACGGTTGAACAAATTTTTTACCAAATTTGAGTAAAAAAAAGCCAATTTTCTCATTATGATACCAACAGCTCCAACGGTTCAATGTAGCGTGCATCAAACAGAGAGGGTCGACCGACCAGTCGACCGGTAAGAGCAAATTTCCAGTTTTTGCCTTCATTTCTGTTGCTTAAAAAATAGTAAGGTGGTCAACCGGGGGGTCAACCGGGTGGTCGACCCCAGTGTAAAATTTTCACAAATTTCTGTCTTAAAGTGGTCATCTGGTGGGACATCCGGTCGAACGTCAAGTGGGTCCAACTCAACGGCTATGCACAGTGAATTGGTGAAAGGAGCAAGCCGTCCTCAATTTGGTGAAACATTTGATATTTTCTCAATTTGATACTATTTTAGTGCAATCGTTGGAGCACAAAAAGCAATTTTTTTTCATCAAATTTGAATTTGATGTTGGATTTAGTGAACGGTTGGAGATGGCCTAATGTGATGTTTCGAAAAGGAGTAACAATACAATTATCATTAGCTTTATGAATGAATCAAAATATATGCTATAACGGCTTTACCATTGCATTCATCATAATTGCATTAGTTGAGTAGGTCCATTACTCATTTATGTTACTGATAGAGTTATAATGCATGATATGATAAATCAAATATGATATGTAATGTGACATCACCATTACACTTAATATCTTGAGTGAAACATCCTTAATCATATAATGAATACCTTCCCAATCCAATAATAATACATTAATTTAAATTTTTTTATGACATCTTTGTTTTGTTTTCATTTACTTGATTTCTACTTCCCATGTTTTCACAAATAAAAATAAGGAAAGGCGTGACAACACATCATCTTCATTTTTGTTCGTAAATAGTTATCAAAAAAAGTTTTAGCATTTCAAAAAAAAATTTCCAAACAGTTTGCTAACAAATTTTCTATATTTTCCCCAAAGATGAAAACAAATAACACCCAATAAACAGCTTGATTTCAGAAAAAAAAACTAATTTAAAAACTGAATAATAATTCTCTATATCCCTGCAGAGATCAATGAAGCTCCTTTCAGCATTCGTCCTCCCTTGTTTCATAGCCGACACCATCTACAAAACATGGTGGTTCATCTCCGGAGGAACCACCACACCTTACTTCATCAACGTCTATGCCAGCGACATCATCGCGTGCACACTCCAACTCTGTTCGTGGCTCTATCGAACATCGATCTTCGTCCTTGTATGTGTTCTCTTCCGACTCATATGTTATCTTCAGATTCTCAGACTCGAAGACTTTTCTCAAGTCTTTGAGAGAGAATCTGAAGTTGGGTCGGTGTTGAACGAGCATTTTGGGATCAGGAGGAGTCTGAGGATTATAAGCCATAGATTCAGAGTGTTTATTTTGTGGACACTGGTTTTGGGTACGGCGAGTCAGTTGGCTTCTCTGGTTGTTACAACTAAGTCTGGTGCTACTGTTAATGTCTACACGGCTGGTGAACTTGCTGTAATCCTTCCAATCTCTCACCGACTTGCAACTTTATTTTTTTTTTTTAATTTAAAAAAAAAAACCAAAAATAGACTTGAATCTCGGCTTGATGTGCTTAAGTCACTAGTCCATTAGAGCCGGGCCTATTACGCAAGGCTTGGACCTAAGGTTTTAGCCCTGAGCTGACCTAACATTTTAGAAAAATCTATTAGACTTGGCTCACGAAAAGTCTGTTCCCAAACGAGATCAGATACCAATTTTGTGAGTTAAGCTAGTTTAATGCTGACCTTTAATTAATAGCAACGTTGTATATCAATAGATGTTTATGAGATTTTTGTATCTAAGTGGAATTCTTTATCTTTGTGTCCAAGAGGCAACAAAATTTGTTAGGACTCCTTTTATGTATGATATTTTTCAAAAAAACATTATACACAACACATATCTTTTTTTTAAAAAAAAAAATTCACTATCAAATATAAAGCAATGGATCCCACAAGAAGTATTTATTAATTTGGCCTCATTATTTTTGTATTTAGTGTTAAGAAAATTGAGTAATAAATTCGCTTATTTATAATATTACTCTAGTATTTTAACTATAGGTGTAAGATGATATCTGCTGTAGAATAAATTTCAATAATTTCTACTCCTTTTATTTGAATTAACATACCGAACATCATGTACACATGTAGAGCCGATCATATAAAACAAAATAAAATAAAAAATTAATCACTTTCTCAAAAAAACCATGGAACTAGAGAAAATAGCTAGAAAATAAAGCATGTGGTATATATTCCAATTTGGTATGACATGGGCTACACTCAAATTAATCTGGTCCACACACCTCATTTTATCTCCTTTTTTCCGTAGTATATTGATATTTATTAGACCAAAAACAATACAAACAGAGAAATTTCTAGAGATAAATACTCATAATGCAATGCTAGTGATACTGCATTCATTTTGGATGGAACTTATATTCTACCTCCTTTTTTTTTCTTTTTCTTTTTTTTGTAAAATTAGCATTATTATTTTCTAAACATGAAAGATTAAGACCCCCTCAATCACCAACCCCCACCTCCCCCACAAACACATGGGGGTTAGTGATTGGAGGAGAAGGAAAATATATATATATATATATCTGGCCAATCACAAGCCAGAGGGGGTTGTGGGGGTCATCCCTGGAGGGGGTCCGGATCATTTTTCTATACCCATATGCTATGTTTGGATTTTTTTAATTTTTAATTTTTTATTCTTAAATTTAACTTTGTTGTTGTTATTGTTGCAGTTATGCTCCATCACATTGGCGACAGGGCTCTTCATATGTCTACGCAGCGCAACAAAGATCACTCACAGAGCACAGATTGTGTCGTGCCTTGCGGCCAAGTGGCATGTCTGTGCCACAGTAGACTCTTTTGATGACTTGGATGATGAGACTGAGACTCTAACAGCCCAGATTTCTTCTTCACCACCTCTGATATGCCCTATCAGTAATGGCAATTCATCATGTCATCATCAGCAATCTGATCATGAAGAAGAAGATGGAGATGGAGAAGAAGATGACCTTGACAACACCAAAATGGTGCCCATATCTGCACATACTATCTCCTACCAGAAGAGGCAAGCTCTTGGTGAGTGTGATAGTGATATATTATATATACATGTTGTGGCAGAGAATTCTTTGTTCCAAATTTTCAAAACCTTCATTAACCCAATAATTGTGTATTTTGGAATGGGAAGACAACAGGATTTTGGGTTCTTTCCACACTTTGTGCAACAAGCCTGAAATTCTGTGTCCCTCAAATTTCAATGTCCCTTTATCTCAAAACATTTACATCTATTTAATCATGTCTTGAGATTACTATACTTTGAGATTTCAATGATCTAATAGTTGTAAGTATTTTGGGATAGAGCAAAAAAGTGATTTGAGAAGAGGATTCTTGGCCCTTTGCACAATAGTGATAACCAAGTTTGGATTCTCTCCAGTTTCGTATCCAATTGGAGAGGTGTTGTTGGGCTCACCTTAGTGATTTGAAATGTTCATTTTGTAAATCCCTCTAAAATTTAAAATGATTAAATATCGAAAATCACATAATCAGATCACATTTGTTTTCAAGAAATGGGTAGTCGATTTTTAAAATCACAGCTGCTATTCATTTTTTAAGATAAATATGTTTCGATTATATAATCATCAATATCTTATATATTAACTTTATGTTTTATATAAACTAGTTGTTTGGCACACGCATTGCGTGTGCAAGTCAAATAAATAAATAAACAAAATATTTGGTATATCTTGTATGTATCTCAAATGGTAATCGTTTTGTTTATCAAATTTATGTCTCAAGTTCAAATCACATTCGCTTCTTTATTATTTTTATTTATTTTTTTATTTTTTTCGTGAATAGAAAATTGGACACTTAGCATAAAAAGAAAGAAAGTTTCAAGACACCAAAATAGTTGCTCATATATATAATAGTATAGATGATAATAAACGGTTTGAATTACCAAGAAAGGCCTTGAGACAAGTCCACATAATCCAACAACACATCTCCAATTGAATGCCCCATTGTAGAGAATTAATTTTTGTTATAACCTATTGGAAAATGATTCACTTATCGGATTTTTTACCAGTAGTCACAAAAATTAGTGAATCTCATGTGCATTTATTAATATAAACCCGACCAACTTGTGTATTGCTGTAATTTGCATATAGCAATGCACAAACCTATTTTGCACCATTTTTTTTGTTTTGTTTTGTGTGTGTGTGTGTGTGTGTGTAACCATCAAGTTGTTTCAATGTTTTGGATGCAGTGACATACTTTGAGAACAACAGAGCTGGAATAACAGTGTTTGGATTTATGCTGGATAGGACATGGCTCCACACCATTTTTGTGATTGAGTTGTCTCTCACCCTTTGGTTGCTTAACAAGACAATTGGTATTTCATGAGCTCAATCAATGTATGTTCAAACCTTTGAAAACCTTTTCATTGTTGTATAGTTCTATGCTTTGGGCAAAATATAATCATTGAAACTGAAAAGATATATTTGGTTCAATAAGTAACCATAGTTGAACCTAAGCATGGCCCTTATGGGAATTGTATAATAATAACCATTTAACATTATGTGTGTTATCACTTTAGTAATAAGCATATACAAAGCATACAATGGGGCCAGTTTGGTGTAATTTAATGGAATTATTTTATTTTAGTTTATTTGGAAACTTGAATCAAAATATTTGATGCGGTTTTTTACTTACAACTTATTATACTTAAATGAGTTAAACAAAAGCTAATTATTAAAAAGTTGTGAAATAAATACTTTTAATTTTTTCTTTTTAATTATTAACTTTTAACTTGCAAAAAGTTGTCCCAAACAGTGACTATATGACTTGTAATTGTTGCAAATATGCACTTTGGAGCAAATTGTGCCAAAAGAAATTGAGACAAATAATTAAGAGACAACAGAAAATACAAGAAACATTTTAATCTCATTATTATTATTGTCTATAGATTGGATGAAACAAAGACAAACAAGTTATTAACTTTCCTTCCCATAACATTTTCTGTTTTACGTAGCTAGCCATCCTTGTTCCTCAGAATGTCAATTGTCCATCACACACAGCATATCATAAACATTAGAGAACAATGAAATGAGGTGAAAGAACTAATTAACATTTTAGTGGGTTTAAAAGAAACATAATTTTTTTTTTTTTTATAGATTTAAGCAGATCTAAAAAGTAAAAAATAAAATATTTATTAAAATATTAAAACAATTCACTAGAAATTAAAAAATACAGAATGAAAACTCAAAAACTATATTTGAAAACTCCAAAACCAAACAAAGTGATGCAACTCAAATGAGAGAGAGAGAGAGAGGGTTACTCGATGGCATCCAAATAAGCAAAAATGGAAGGAGAAGGATTCTTGATGTTGCAAAGCTTTTGGAGTTGCATAGCTGGCCCAGACTTAAACTTCATAGACTTAGCAGCATTTGTAAGACAAGTTACCAAACCCTTGCTGTCTGAAACAGAAGAAGAAATCATCCTATTCAAGTCCCTTGCACCCTTGCAGCAAGCACTTGTGGCTGTGACACTACCTTTACCCACCAAAAAAGGCTTGCATGGCCTCAACTTGTGTATGAATTGTTTGCATGAGGTAGCATTTGTTGGGCTCAAAATCAGAGCCAAAACCACCAACCCTAATAATACCCACATTGAGCAACCCATCACCATCTTCTTTGCCATTTTTTATCTAAACAAACACTCAAAAAAGTCTCAAAACCTATGTAGTCTAGTTCTTGAAACGTAGTAGTGTCTCTGTGTGCTAAGTTGCACATGCCATATGTAAAGAAGTTGTTGCCCACTAAGATCTGGTTTGCCAAAGAATTAAAAAAAAAAAATTAGGATAAAATTGCTATAAAAATTTATGTCTTTTAGAAAGGGGATAGTACTTTTTTTCATACATCCATCATCAAGCGATTAATTCAAAGACCACAATTCAACAATTAGTCATTATCACTAGTTATGACCTTTGAATGACTAATTGTTAAATTGTGACATTTGAATCAACTGTTGAATAATGAGTAGATGAAGAAACTGGAGGGGAATCTTGCTCTAGAATTAGAAAAATGTTAAAAAGTTGTCTTTTGTTATTGAAAAAGTTTAGGTGGAGTTTGGATTTTATTTTATTTTTATCTTCAGAGAATTGTTTTTAAAATTTTAATTTTTTGTAATACTTTTTAGATCATTCCAGATACAAAGAGTTGAAAAATAAAATAAAAATTATTAAAAAAATCATTAAAGAAAAAAAAGTTTGAAAAAAATTAAATTTTTTAGCATTTGCCAATTGGGCGGATCTTTGTTATAAAAAAAAAATAAATAAATAAGAAAAATTGTCAATTAAATAAGTTGAATCCAAGCCAAAATATTTTTGTCAATTAAATTAAATTCGATATAGTTGTTTTTTTCAAGATTCTACGGCCTCAAATCCCTCTTTCTTAATATATTATGAGTCATAAAATTTTGAAACAATCTCAAGAAATGAAAATCTCGATATGCAATTCTATAACTAGAGGAAGTGCACTAAGATATGAAAAAAAATGAATTTCAGAACAGAAAATCCAATTATGCTTCTCTATTTACTTCAAATTTTCCGTAAGGAAAAATTGGTACAGCTACCCTAATCATATATTTAGCCATAGCATTAAATGCAGATTAGGAAAATAAATTTTTATCTACATTTTTTGGAAAAAGAAAAAATTAGAAAAATTAAGACAATTAAGAGAGAGATGATATGGTCATCCTTCTTCCTCCAACTCTGTTCTGACCCTAAACTTTTGTTATAATGGGACGACCCTATCATGTATAGTAATTAATATTTAATTAATTAAAAAAAATTAAATTTAAATTATCAATTATTTTAATTTAATTTGAGATTTATGAAAATTATAGAGACTGGTTCATATATAATTCTATTGAGAATTTATTTTGGAATTAGAAGTTAAAAAAGCCTATATGGCTTAAGAAAGTATAATTGGTGAATTGAATTATTTTAATTTCGAATATTAGACCGTATGGAAGTTTAATTAAATATTCAATTCAGATTTATAAAATTGAGATTTAATTAATTAGGTCCGAATTGGAGTTAATTACGTTATAAAAATTAGGAATTAAGGTTATTATGAATTAAATTTCCTTATGAGACATTCAATTAAGGTATTCATTGAGTATGTAATTTACTGGTGAAGATTTTGAAGTTTAATTTGAAATTAAAGACCTTAATGATTCAAGAAACCAAAATTGAGGATGAAAATAAATTTAATTTGATATTTTGGGCCTTTTGGAAGTTGATTAAAAATCTGATTCGAATTGATAAATTTAAATATATTTAATTAGGCTTCAATGGAAGTCAATTAGACTAATTAAATTATGTGAGATTTAAAATTAGTTATAATTAACTAATTTTGTGTTAATTAAAATTTATTAAGATTAGGTGATGATTAATTAAATTAATCTTAGACATAAATTGAATTATGGACAAAATTAGAATTAGGGGTGTAAATGGGTGTGGGTGTATGGAGAAATTTGTGTGTGTGTGTGTGTGTGTGTGTGTGTGTGTGTGTGTGTGTGTGGTAGAGAGAGAGAGAGAGAGAGAGAGATGTGTTGGAAATCAAAAAAGAGCGCACGTGTGCTATGTTGATGACAAGGAAGTGAGGTGTGTGTGTGACAGTGTATGACCTGATGACGCTTAAGAGAAACACAAACAGGGAAAAGAGAGGGAGCAAGAGAAAGTGGGTTGGAGATCTCAAGAGTGTAGAGAGAGAAATCTATTTTTGTGTTAAGAATTGTAGATGAAGTAGAGAGCTAAAGAAAGAAAAGCTAAGAAAGTGAAAGATTGAAGAAGAATTTACCAAATTGAAGACTATAGGTAAGAATTTTAAGCTTGATTCTTCTAGATTAATTATTTAATAACCAAAATCAAGAAGCAATTGGATTCAATATCATAAAAATAGAAAGAAATTAAGAAAAGAAAGAAGAAATTACATTAAGTAGAAGAATTAAATAAATAACTTAGGAATGTCATTATTTGAGTTTAATTTCTTCACTCTCCAAGTAATTTGAATTCTATCTTAACATGCATCATGGAATTTCAAGGTTTTGAGATTTTAATTCATGTTTTATGAGTTTGAATTTAGATTTGCTATGAGGAAAATTAATAAAAATCTAGATTAAAGCAATTCAAGATTTTAATTATGGTTTGAGCTTAATAATGTGGTATTGGTTAGATTTTAATAAATGTTTCATACATGCAAATGGCTTTCTAAGAAATTTATAATTTTAATTTCATGTTTTGATGGAAAATAGAAAAGAGTTAGAATCAATTTTATGGGATAAGAAAGAAATTGACAAGAAAATGATGAATTGGAGCTAAGATCAAGTTTATGAGAGTTAATTTAAAAATTAATTATTTTTGGTTTGATTTTGTAGAATCATCCTATAATACTTGAGATTGAGAAGGATTTGAGATTAAATTCATGGAATTAGGAAGAAATTGGGTTTTGAACATAAAATGAGTTACATGCATGTTCATGATTATGGAAGCTTTATTTTGGATTTGCTTTTGAATGTCTTACATAAGTTTGAGTCTAGTTCGTACATACATGAACAAATTTTACAATTTTGATATTCTAATTGTACATTTGATTTTGAAAAAGAAGTTTAGAAAACCATGAGTTCATGGGTTTTGATTTTGAAATTAAGTAAAGTTTTGATTTAAATAAATTAATTATTATGTTTCAAGATTTTGAGCAAATAATTTATGAATAAATGAGTGTTTATATTTTCTAAGGTATTTTCATGATTTTGATCAAGATATGCATGGATTTAAAAAAAATTGAAAATGCATTTGGAAGCCATTTTTGAGAAGTTCAAAATTCTGGAATTTTACAGACCGCTCGAGCAGACTAATTGCCACTCGAGCGCACATTGAAGGCTTCCAGTACTTTTTATAGTCTTTTACAGACCGCTTGAGCGACTAAAGGCTCGCTCGAGCGAACAACTATTCGCAGCATATCTTGAAAAGTTGCATTTAGTTCATATTTTTATTCCCATCTCTTCCCAAAGCATTCTAAACATGATTTATGACTCAATAAAAATTAATAAGCTAACAATCAACATTAATTGGTTGATTATAAGAATAAATTATTAACTTAGTAGTACTTGATTAAGAAGTCAAGTAAGAAATTGGTTTATTCAGAAAAGAATGATTTAGTAATGAAAGGATATGTGAAATGAGAACCCAAATCATTTAAATAAGAAAGAATAAGCAGAGTAGAACTGCAGACTACTTAGATAGAAAAAGACAAGAAAAGTCAAGTTTGATTAAGGAATTGATATTGTATTTCAATGTGTATGTGTTATGTGCTTGTGTAGGTCACGCGCTATTGTCTGCCTGATTTGTTTGATCTGTCTAATCTGTCTGATTTGCTTCTACAGTTAGCTGTGAGTAATAACTTAGTAAAACTATATTCAACTTTATTTATTTTCTGTGTGATGAATTAAGATCTGTTTTCGGAAATGATATGTTTTGTACAATGAATGATTGTCCAATTTCTGACAATGTATTCATGGCATCCTTAACATCATATGATATCTGTTAGCTGTTACCCAGTATCGGAGGTTCCATTATGGAACTTATTATGCCTGTCATCTGTTACCCGTACCGGAGGCTCCATCATGGAGCTCAGCATGTATATTCTCTGTTACCCGGATCCAGAGGTTCTTTTATGAAATTGGTTATTCATAACCACCATATGTTTTGCACCTGTTCTGTTAGCGCTAATGGATATACCACGTATGATTAAGCATGAACTCTAATTTCTATATATGATCTGACCAAGAATATGAATATGAATATGAATATAAATATGAATATGCATTATGATTTCTGAATCTGGTATGGACATAATTCATTAAAACCTTTTACTCTGTTATTATTCACTGGGCTCTAACTCACTGTATTATTTATGTATATAGGAGATCAAGCGCGTGACCAGGCTTAGAAGCGTCTGCCAGGAATCTGTTTTTATTAGCCAACCTATATACCTCCCGTAGTGGTTCCGGATATGTCAAGTGGCTATGGTTATGTGATTTAAAGTTTAAGTTTTGTTTTCTTGTTTGGTTAAACAAGTCTTTGTGTATTTTGTAAATAGGGTCAAGTCCCTTTTTGTCTAATCTGTATATATAATATGACGTAAGGATGATGTGTATAGATGTATATAAAAAGTTTAAAATTTTTATGTCTCATATAAGTCTACACAGCTCAATGGACGTTGTATATTTGTTATTTGCTCCCGCTAGCCCCTAATATTATGTTAATATATCTCAGAGACCTTTGGTAATCTCTAAATTATTGGTTAGTTATGATACTAAACTTATAAGAACATGTTTGGATTGTGACATATCTCTACACTTTTTCATGTGTACAACACTAGCATAGTAATGGTAATAAATCATGGAGGATTTTTCTAACCCATAACATAAAAGTATAATAAATTGAGTTTCACAAAAAAAATCTCAACTCATTAAGTCCAATGTGTCCCTTGTTGACCGAAATGTCATTTTCTTATTAAACCTTCACACAAATCAAATATAAAATGAAACACAATCCTTTCATAATTTTTTATTTTGTGTTTAGTTTTTATGTTTCTAGTATTACGGTAAATAATGTGAACGAAGTATGTTTGAGTAGATTTATCAAACAAAATCTCTATTCAATATAAAATTCTGAAGTAAAAAAAATAAACAATCTTTGCTTTAAAAAATTGCAAAAATTCACAAATTTTTTTAATTAAAAAAAAAAACTCACAACTTTAAAACTATGAAATTTTTTAGTTGCATGAATTTTCCCATTTCCTACACAAAAATTTTAAAATTTCACAATTTTTTAAAAATTAAAAACTGCTCAGTCTCATCAAATTTTACCGTTGAATATTTGATAATTCATTTTGGATCTTTAATATTTTTATTAATTATTATTCAAACTCACCTAGAGATAGGGTGCCTGTTGTGCGGCTAGTGAGACTGATTTCGAGGCTTATTTCAAGAATTTAAATTGTTCATTTTTTAAGGTAGAATGAGTAGAATATACCTGAAAAAAATTAAATTGATTGGATATCGGTAATCCTCTCAATGAATTGCATTTGAATTTAAAGAAAATAAAAATAAATAGCAAATGTAATTTAAAATATAAAACTAAATGCAAATGTAATTCGATGAAAGGATTATCGATATCCAATCAATTTAATTTTACAAGTATATTTTACTCGGTATCTTTTAAAAAGTGACGATTCAAATTATCGAAAAAATAATATTATATAGAAAAAAAATTCATTTATAATGATATAGTTAATTGTGAATCTTTCATTTCAAAACAAAATACCATAAAAAATGAATTTATTTACAATAATGAGATTAACACATCATTTTTATAGAACTTTTTATATAAATTTTATGTATATATAAAATTTTCTTTATTGAAATAAGTCTTAAAATAAGCCTAATTAGTAGCACAAAAGTGACTATTGTGTCTCGCACAGCAAACACACCATCTCCATGAAAAAATTATTGGTTGGTCCAGAGTTGTTACGTGACCATACTCCTCACCAATCACAGTTCATCATATATATTTATGTTCTTCAATTATTTAACATAAATTTATAAATCTTACCTCTTTCATCAATGAGCATTGATAGAGACTTCCTCCAATCACCATCCCCACAACCCTACACATACGTGGCGGGTGGTGATTAGAGGTGGTGATTAGAGGAGAAGAAAAAAAAAAAAAAAAAAAACCAACAAAAAAGGAGAGGGGATCAAAAGGATGAAAGGAAAGGGTTCTTAAACATTTTTTTTCATCAATCACAACACTGTTGGACTGCACGTGACAATGGCCAAGTCCAACCAGTAACTTCTCATCTCCAGGCCACGTCCATGTCATCAGTCAAAAACTGCCACTTCATCAATTGGGCCCACAAAAATGATCTTCACGACATGTGACGTGGCTGCACTTCAGTGGGCCCTAGTACTCCCGATGATGAAGATGAGGAGGAAGAAGATGTTGCCAGACGGCACGACAAACTACCGAGTTTCTATGTTCCAAGACAAAGCAAAGATCGACAAATGCTTCATTTTGCTCGGTCTAGATTGTTTTTTTGTTTTTTTGTTGTTGGTTTTTTTAAGTTTTCAAGCATTGTAACCATCGAATCACTCTGTTTTTTTAAACCCAACTTCATTGGTGTCTCCGAAGCCTCAAGACCCCCCTTCAAAATGGTCAATTTCAAACTCAGATTTTCCTTCACCCTCTTCTTGCCTCATCTTGGGAATCAAAAGATTTGCCCAAAATCATAAACACTTTTCATGGCTGTAAGTGTTCTTCTTAGTTCTTGCTAATTGCTCTTCATGTTTTCTATAATTGGGGTTTGGAATTGTTGTGTTTAAGGTTGTGTTTGGGAATTTCATATTAAGTTTTTTGCTTGGTTGCCTTTAAAGAGTTGAAATGTTGAGCTAACTAACACAGCTTTTTCTGGGTTTCTGATCTATGCCGTTTAGTTGCTCTGTACATTATATGTAGCAAATCCAAGGCATGTTTGGTTTGTATTTGTGAAACAATTTTGAGAAATAATTTTGTAAAAAGAGTTCATAAAATTTGAAATTTTGTTTGGTTGTATGTTTTGATAATAGTTTTGGAGTTTGAGATGATTTCATTGTTTTTTCGGTAGTTGAATGGATAATTGTGAGAGAAAAAGTAATCGATTGATTGATGTGTAAAATGTGAAAGAAAGAGAGGAGAGAGAAAAAATAATAATTGATTAATGTGCAGTAGAGAGAAAGGTGATTTAAAATTTTTTTTTCAAAAATTTTAAACTAAACAAATTTTTGAGATTTTTTCTCAAAAATTGTATCTTTAGATACAAATCAAAGAAAGTGTCACTCACAAATATTAATAGTTGTCTTCGTAGTTTTGTCACAATTTTTCCTATACCTAAAATATCCCGTAAAGATCTAATTGTTTCAAACTTAGTAACTGTCATCATGATCGATCTAAGTGTTTTACTTACACACACGTAGGTGATACACCGGTTCGGGACCACACATCAGATTTGGTTTTGACCAATCATAATTAGCCAAATTAGCAAAAATTGGGCATGAGGTCTCACTTTTTTACTTCCCTCATAACAAAGTGGAACTTTGAACCCCAATTTTCCCGATTTGGCTGACGATGATTGGTCAAGACCAAAATTGAGCCATGCCTTAATGGTAGAGTTCAGACAGGGGGCTCTTCGAGACCTAGTCTCCTAGACCTACCTAAACCCAACCCCACCTGGATTATGATGATTTTCATTTTACCAAATTAATAGTGATTAGTGTAATCCCCAAAATATGTTTAAAATTAATTACCAATACATTCAACTGTTATTGTATGGAAATGAATTAGCTGTTTTACACCATATGCCTATCAGGGAACTCCAACTATGGAACATGAGAAGAGGAAAAGAATGAACACTTTGCTTAGAACAATTCCCATTTTTTTAAGCAAGCTGATTCAATCTTCTGAATTGACTGGTTCTCACCTTGTTATATGTATCTATATAGTACAACAATTTTTCGGCACCTTTTATAAGGGCACTCCTAGTGCACAAAGCTCCCACCCCTACAGGTTTGTGGACGGTCAGATGTACACAGCCTAAGAAGCATGAACGCTTTTAAGAAGGTAGCGTTATGTCAGACGCCAATACGATACAACACAACACTCATGGGACACTTGTTAATCCTTGTCGGGCACATCTCCAGCATTTTCCATTATTTTTTTAAATTTTCTAAATTTGGACGCACTTTAGATACTTAGGAAACACATGCTATCGCTTAGACACATACTTTACAATTTGAATAAACTAATACTAAAGAAAAATAATGTAAATTTAAACTTATTGATTTAGAAATTAGGAAACATTGTATTTTGTTATTATCTTCGAATAGGTTTAGAAACATAACATATAATATGGGTTAATCCTTACATCTGACATAAATTAAATACATAAAGCTTTGTATCTTGCATGTGTTGCCCACGTGTTGTGTCCTACATTTTTAAAAAATTTCCATGTTGGAGTGTCCATTATTCTGCTGGGCTTCTTAGTAAGCAAGGACACTGAAAGTGTGTTTGTAGCATTTAATTTTCTCTTATAAGTCCATAGTTTAGATTACTAGGCATAATCATGATTTTCTGAGATTCTTATGGTCCATATACTAATCCTTCTCGGATTTCACTAAATAACCCGAGTATTGGTATTGCATAAGCTGTCAAAAACCATTATTTTACGTTCTGTCATAAGAAAAAATTGGATCAAAACTTGATTTTGTTTGTTTGTTTGTTTGTTTTTTTTTTCTAATATTTCTTATTATGGTGGTATGGATACTAAATTTGGTATGAAAAATCTATTCAAATGACTTTTCAGCAACAGCGATCCCATGTTCCTAAGTTTGGCAATTGGGAGAGCGATAACATACCTTACACTGCTTACTTTGAGAATGCACGCAAGGAGAGAGCCAGCGGTGTGATGATGAACCCAAATGACCCCGAAGAGAATCCAGAGGCCTTCATGTTTGGAGGAAGAATGGGAACAGGAAGTGATGGTGTTTCTAATAAATCAATGTCATTGGAAAAGCAGCACACTGAGGGGCTTCACCAGCACAAGGGACATCGGAGGAACACATCTGATCAGCAGAAGAGTGGGAGTCATAGGAGTGTGACTTCAGAATCTGGCAGCGAAAAAAGCAGCAATTCTGATTACTCACTTTTGCAGCAAAAACACCGGCATACAAGATCCACCACCCGAAAGAAGAGTACAACCGAGGTTAACAACTTAGGTCTAGCTTCACCGGGACATGATAGGCTTAGAAGTGCTAGCAATCAATTGAATGATATGGTAAGCCGATTCTTCTCTTCTTTTCTAGAATTCCTGCAATATGAATTCATTGGGGGTGGTGATTTTGCAGAAATGTGGAGGTAGATTGAAGGAAAACACACAAATGCAAAAACAAAAACAAAAACAAAAAAAAACTTTGATTTGCTTTTTTCGATTTCAATGTTTTATTTTATGAAGAAAGCTACTTTCCCAATTGCTAAAAAATGGCCTTCTAATTTGATAGTCCACAAAACTAGGGCTACATCCATGGTCATGTGGTTTCACTATGATCAGAAAGAAATACAATAAAAAAATAGAGATAGCCACCCCTCTAGCTACATATATATAGTATTAGGGTTACACATCACAAATACCAAAATACCAAAACAACCTTTATCTAGAATTCGAGTGGTTGGTGTCAAGTACTTATTAGGATCGACACGACCCAACATGGGTTTCATGGATATTGGGGCAGTTCATTTCGTTTCCCACTTTGAATTCTTCATTGTTCAGAAAGAACATTTCCACAAAGCAATTTGAATATTTTTGGTCTTTTCATATCCTTTCCTTCATTAAGTTTGAGTTCTTTTGTTCATTAATGATGTTAAAAAATGAAGTTGAATTCATACATGAAGAATCAATATGGATCTATTTTGTGATAAGATTACGATAATTACAATTTTGTAGGGGTTCATAAAATACATACATCAAATCAGTACAAGAATGGAATGTGAATGCAAAGATACTGTTAAGCATGTAGAGAGTGCTTTTCTTAACTTTTCATATTCTTCACTATCTAAGATTAATGATCAACTAACATTCTGTTAGAATATTTATTTATATATTTGTAATTATCTGTTTCCTGATTTCATTCCTTAGGGCTTCCCTTATAAGTTATTTTACTTAATTAATATAAAAGGGAATGCATTGATATTCATTCACTAAATTTGATTTTACCTAAACAAACATGGTATCAAAGCCTAAACCCTAAACCCAGCTTCTTTCGCCACCATCCATCACCACTTTGGCAAAACCCATCTCCAGCCAACCCACCACCACCAGCACCACCACCACCATTTTTCGGTCCCTTATTTAGCTATCCAGGGCTTGCGTACGCAGCAGCAAGTCTTCTAGGCTTAGCCGACAGCCATTGAAGGCCATCCAGGCTAGGACGACGCCAGTCGGAGGTCACCCAGAACCAGACGTCTTCCGCCGGAGTTCACCCAGGACCAAATGACACCATTTGGCAGTTCGACTATCTGTTTACATCTAGTCGGCAGTCCCTTTGTTCCTCTGTGGCTCTCACATGTCTCTGTCAGGTTTGGTACTGAAATACTGATCACTTCACATTAAAAAAAAATAAATAAATCTTGTTTTGATTGAGGTTCTAGTTCCGGTATTATTTTTTTATTTATTTTTGGGTCAGTAGATGGCCCCAATAATTTGACTGTGATTGTCATTATTTGGTTGTTCTCTTCCTTCCATTTTCCTCCCATAGTTATGATTATTGCTGGTTATGGTTTAGATAAGTAGCATACTCAAATGGCCGAAATTACTAGTGAATCCACCACTTGTATCCAACCACCTCAAGTGGAGAGCCTCATTATGCCTACTCAATCCGAAAACTACAATCCTAACCTCAAAATTACCACCTCACTGTTTAATGGTCAGCATTATCTAGCCTGGTCACAGAGTCTAACGCTTTTTTTGAAGAGCAAGGAGAAGATAGGTTATGTTGATGGAATGGTTCAACCACTAGGTCCCAATGATCTTGGTTATGATCAATGGGAGATTACTAACTCCTTGGTTATGGGGTGGCTTATTCATTCTTTGGTTCCAGATATTGGTGAAGGCTACTTGTCCATGGAGACTGCCCGGGATGTTTGGGAAGTTATGGCTGTCACCTATTCTCACAAGGGCAATTTTTTGCAAACCTTTGAGTTGTGTCGTTCCATTGAGTGCTCAGTACAAGGGGAACAGACTATTCTTCAGTACTTCATATTTCTTAACAATAGTTGGAAACGTCTTGATCACCTGCAGGATTATAAACCGGTCTGCACTATTGATTCCGTTGGCTACATGAAGTTTATTGCACAGAAGAAGGTCTTCAAGTTTCTTGAAGGTCTTAATTTGGAATTTGATGTGGTTCAGAGTCATGTCCTTGGCATGGATACTCTTTCCTCTCTTCAGGAGGCCTTTGCTTATGTACAGAATGAGGAGAGTCGTCGTTCTGCTATGATGCCAGCTGCTTCTGCAGAACACTCTGCCTTACTTACTGTTCCTCCTAGGGATGGGACCAGTCTGCCCTGTGCCTCTCCTAATCCTTCTACAAAACACTCTGTTCTGTGATTACTGCCACAAGCCATGACAAACTTGTGAGACCTGTTGAAAGCTTCATGGGGCTCCATCTAGAGGTCGAGGTGATCGGTCTGGTTCTCGCGGAGGCCGGTCTGGCCAGTCTAGAGAACGTGGCTTTAATCCACGGGCCCATCAGTCCAGTGCAATTGGCATACTTGATTCCACTCCAGCCCCGGTTGGCCTGTCCTCTGATAGGGTATCTAGCATGTCTTTTTCTGAGTTTGAGGATGTTCTGCGTCACTTGTTGGACCGCCGATCTTCTACCACTCCTCCAGATGCATCATCTTCTTCATTTGCCTGATCAGGTAACTTAGCCTCTCTCTCCAATGCTTTCCTACCCCATAAGTATGTCCTATGGATTATTGATTCTGGTGCTTCAAACCATGTCTGGATCTTCTGATCTTTTCTCCGACTATAAGCCCTCTTCATGACACGACAAAGTTCGCATTGCAGATGGTACTATTTCTTCTGTCTCTGGGAAAGGTTTAATTCGTGCCACTCCTACTCTTCCTCTCTCTTCAGTTTTACATGTTCCTAATTTCTCTGTTAATTTTTTATCATTGAGTCGTATTACTCAGGATTTGAATTGTAGTGCGACTTTTTTCCTTGATCATTGTCTCTTTCAGGACCTTATCACGAGGAGGACGATTGACAGTGGTAGAGTAGAACATTGTCTCTATATCCTAGATCAGGCCGACAAGGTTGCTCATCATTCTATCCAATCTCCAACCACCAAGGACGATTTATAGTTGTGGCATTGACGTCTTGGTCATCTCTCTTTTTTCCTGCTTCAACATTTATTTCCTTCTGTTTTTACCAAAAATAATGTGTCTAACTTTCAATGTGAGTCTTGTCAACTCGGCAAACAAACACGAGCTTCTTTTGCTCCCCGTATTAATAAAAGCGTAGTTCCTTTTTCTTTAATACATTCTGATGTTTGGGGTCCATCTCGTGTTGTGTCATTGAAAGGCCAAAGATGATTTGCCACGTTTATCAATGATTTTTCCTGTACTACTTGAGTGTATCTCATGAAAGAAAAGAGTGAGGTTTTCTCTGTGTTTCAAAATTTTCATAAAATGCTTTGTACTCAATTTGGGGCTGTTGTCCAAATCTTGCGTTCTGATAATTGGGGTGAATACATTGATTCGGGGTTAAAGAGATATTTTTCCACTTATGGGATTATCCATCAGACTTCTTGCACCGATACCCCGCAACAAAATGGGGTCGCGAAGCGCAAAAATCGTCATCTTCTTGACATGGCTCGTTGTATGTGTTTTTCCATGGGTGTGCCTCGATCCCATTGGGGTGAGGCCATTCTCACCGCTGTCTATCTCATTAATCGTCTTCCTACCCTAGTATTGCATAAAAAGGCTCCTCTCCAGGTTCTCTTAGGATCCGAGTCTCTGTTTTCCATTTCTTTTAAAATCTTTGGGTGTGTCTGTTTTGTTCACAATCATTTCCCTACTCGTGGTAAGTTGGACCCTCACTCTCTTAAGTGTGTTTTTCTCGGCTACCCCCTACTCAAAAGGGATATAAGTGTTATCATCCTCCTTCTCGTAAGTAGTTTGTGTCCATGGATGTCACCTTCTTTGAGTCCCAGTCTTACTTTTTGTCTTTTCTGGTGTTCCAGTCATCTCTTTCGAGGTAGCCTTGGTGTAAAGAGATTCCTGTTATCCCTGTTGCTCTTATAGTGGAATCAGTTGTTCCTCCACTACCTATTGCTGAGACTATAGAATTTAATGCCACTAAGGACAGGGAAGGGCAAGTTTATGTCAGGGACAAAGACAGACAAAACGTTACTTGGATACAAAAGACCACTTTTGCTCACCCACTGCCATCTCCTACTTCTGATAAGAGTTTAGGTAACTTTGAACCTGTTGTTTCTCTTGAGCCTAATGATATTGTTATTACTGACACTACTGATCTTGATATTCCTATTACTAAGAGAAAGGGTGTGAGATCTTGTACTCAACATCCCATCTCTAATTTTGTGTCCTACTCTCATTTGTCGTCCTCGTATAAAGCCTTTGTGTTCAATAGGGATGGCAATTTGAAACTGGCCCGACGGGGACCCGACCCCCCGTCCCCGATAAGAATGGTTTTTTCCCAAAAAATACCCCCGACGGGCCGGGAATGGTATTCAAAAATAAATCCCCGGTGACATTCGGGCCGGGGACGATGATACATATTTCATCCCCGACCCCGGCCCGACCCCGGCCCCCGCCCCGGTTATCCCCGATTTATATATTATATATATATATATATATATGTTTGGGGTTTGATTTGGTACAGCAGCTCTACTCTCATTGTATATTATATATTATATATATAAAATATTACACTCTCTCTCTCTCATCTCTTCTCTCACTGTTTCTTCTCTCCAGTGGCGATGGCGACGAGTGCGACTCCTCTCCCCAGCGGCGACGACGCGATCTCCTCTCCCCAGCGACGACGGCGAGTGCGATCTCCTCCGCGGCAGTACGCACACCCGGCGTCATCTCCTACTCCGGCGTCATCCCATCTCCTCTACACCACCGCAGATCTTACATCTCACATCTCAGATCTGAAAAGATCAGATCCCATCTCCGAATTGAGTGGTTCCTCCGCTGTCTTCTCCCTCCTCCCAGATCTCGCCGATCTCACTGATCTGTAACAGATCATCTCTATCTTTTTTTTATTTATTTTTTATTTTTTTTTTTGTTGATGATGTTGTGTTTATACATCTCTATCATCTCTATCTGTTGTGTTTATAAATGATCTATAACAGATCATCTCTATCTTTTATTTATTTATTTATTTATTTTTGTTGATGATGTTGCTGTTGCTTCCTTGAATCGATGATGTTGTTGAAGAATTTTTTTTTTTTGATGATGTTGCTTCGTTAATGTCTTTGTTGATGATTTTTTTTTTTTTTTTTTTTGTTTGCTGAATGATGGATGTTGTTGATGATGAGTACGGGGATTTTCCGGGGTCGGGGAAACCCGATCCCCGTTGGGGACGGAGGTGGGGGGGAGTGATGAGTTCCCCGTCGGGGATTGGGGCCGGGGACAGGGATTTTTGTAGTTTCGGGGATCGGGGACGAGGAGGGTGATCCCCGGCCCCGCCCCGTCCCGTTGCCATTCCTAGTGTCCAACATTTCTTCTGTGAGTATACCTAATCATTTTCAAGATGCTCTCACTACCTCTGAGTGGAAACTTGCTATGATTGAGGAAATAAAAGCACTTCGTAAGAATGACACTTGGGAATTGACTGAATTACCTAGGGACAAATGAACCGTGGGATGCAAATGGGTGTATACAGTAAAGCACAAGACAGATGGTTCAGTTGAGCATTATAAGGCTCTACTTGTGGCAAAGGGTTTTAATCAGACATATGGGTTGAACTATCAAAGAGACATTTGCTCCAGTTGCAAAGATGAATTCTGTCAGGATACTCCTCTTTCTTGCAGCTAATTTGGATTGGTCACTTCATCAGTTTGATGTGAAGAATGCTTTCCTCCATGGTGACCTAGAAGAAGATGTGTATATGGATATTTCCTCTGGTTTTGAAAATCTTCAGACATAGGGGAAAGTATGTCGACTTCGAAAGTCACTATACGGTCTTAAACAGCCTCCAAGGGTTTGGTTTGAGCGATTTACTCAAGCGATGGTGAAGTATGGTTTCAAACAAAGTTAGGCTGATTATACTCTGTTTGTTAAACATTGCTTCCATGGTAAGACGACGGCTTTCATTGTATATGTGGATGACATAGTGCTTACAGGGGATGATGTTGAGGAAATTCCTTTGCTAAAGAAGTATTTGCAAGTGAGTTTGAGATCAAAGGCTGGGAAATCTGAAGTATTTTTTGGGTATTGAAGTTGCCAGATCCAAGGATGGGATTTTCATCTGTCAGAGAAAATATGTCCATGACCTTTTGAAAGAAACAAGAATGCTTAGAAGCAAAGCCTGTGATACTCCTCTAGAGCCTAACCAGGAACTGAGTGATGATATCGGAGGAGCAGCTATTGATAGGGGGAGTTATCAGCGGTTAGTGGGTAAGCTCATTTACTTATTCCATTCTCGTCCTGATATCACTATTGCAGTTAGTATAGTTAGCCAGTTCATGCATACTTCTCATGCAATACACTTGGAGGTAGTTATGAGGATTCTGAAATACTTAAAATCTTCTCCTGGAAAGGGCCTTTATTTTTCCAAACACGATCATCTTAGTGTGGAAGCCTATACGGATGCAGATTGGGCAGGATCAGTAACTGATACGAGATCTACTTCGGGGTATTATACCTTTGTTGGAGGGAATTTGGTTACTTGGAGAAGTAAGAAACAGAATGTGGTTGCCAAGTTCAGTGCAGAAGCAGAGTTTATAGCCATGACACAACGTGTGTGTGAGCTCTTGTGGATCAAGTTGTTGTTGAGTGATCTGGGGATAGATCAAACAGATTTCATGCGACTATATTGTGATAATAAAGCTGCCATCAACATAGCTCACAACCCAGTTCAACATGACAGAACAAAGCGTGTTGAGATTGATCGTCACTTCATCAAGGAGAAACTCACTAGCGGCACAATATGTGCTCTATTTGTAAAGTCTGGTGAACAACTCGCTGATATCCTTACAAAGGGGGTTGGAAATACACCGTTCCATGATATTCTTCACAAGTTGGGAATGAGAGATATCTTTCGCACCAACTTTAGGGGGAGTGTTAGAATATTTATTTATATATTTGTAATTATCTGTTTCCTGATTTCATGCCTTAGGGCTTCCCTTGTAAGTTATTTTACTTAATTAATATAAAAGGGAATGAATTGATATTCATTCACTAAGTTTGATTTTACCTAAACAAACACATTTAAGTTAGTAAAAAACTGATCTGAGATAGAAGACCAAAGGCATGAAATGACTGCCTATGAAGGAAAAAAAAAATTACAAATAAAAAATAAAGAACAAACAGTGGACATTGCCTCGAAAAAAATCACAATCCAGTTGGCTTTCCTGAACTTCGTGTGTGTGGGACTTTTATTTGATGAATTGCCTGAATTGCGCAGTTTCTGATTCCATTCGTCAATTCATTCTTGCAATTATGATCATAACAATGCCTAATTTCACAAATTTTATTTGGGTTGCAGTCTTATGGATCAGCAGCATCAGTGCCCAAATTCGGGGCATGGGATGAAAGAGACCCCAAATCAGGAGAAGGTTTTACCGTCATTTTCGACAAAGTGAAACAGGAGAAACACATTGCAGCTGCCAAGGTGCCCACCATGCCTCCACCACCGAGCAATTACATGAATAGTCAGAAAAAAAATACCAGATCAAAGGTTTGCATTCATGTGTTTGAGTTTCACCTCATAATGATTTATAAGCACTATGATTATATAGCTTAAACACAATCCCAATTCAGTTAAGCTTTGAATAACTTGGTGCTCGGTTTGGATGTTAAGCAAGTACTATGCAAATCAAGAAACTACTTTTTTGTACTGTACTTTATTTTATTTTTTTATGTCTTCACAGCAATCAAATGGAGCCCAAGAAAACAGAAAGCATTTTGCATTCGTTTATTTCATTTACTATAATGTTTGTTCTCATACCGTAATTGCAGATATGTTGCTGCCTTCTTCGTAGTGGAAGTGATTAATTCATGTGGCTTTGATTCTGTTTCTTATATTTGAGTATTCAGTGATTTTATGCAATGTATTGGCTAAATATTTTACTGTCAAAATAATTATTCTTCTTTAAATTGTATAATTTTTATTTTGTACCAGTAACTGTAAAATCTTTGCAATCGAACACAATAATTAACTGCAAATGTTTTTATACAGTGAGGATATTCATGTTTGTGTTATTGCTTTCTTCAATAAATCTGGACTTTGTAGGAGCTTATAAATTGTTGCGCTCAAGTAAGTGCAATAATGGAAGTGTGAAAGCATAACTTCCCTTTGTTTTGTGAAAACAAATATAATGTATTAGGACAGAGAAATTTGGAGGTGAAATCTCATGTCACAAGAAAAATGCTATTCTATCAGAATTTTTATATAGAATTATGCATCAAAATGATGTCATTATCATTTTTGTTATTGAAAGCATCTAAAAAACATTCATATATAGCACAGAAGGAATGCAATCAAGGAGAACCTGAACAAAGCTAACACAACAATAGTTCTACTTGAGCTAGAATTGAATCCATATGAAAAATGCAAAACACAACCATATACATAGAAGACAAAGGCAACTTTGCATCTTATGTACATAAATAAAATCAGCTAAAATCCGAATGTGCCATAATCACATTATAACATTTCCTAGCTGCTCTGAGAAGGGAAACTCTTTGCTTCCTCTTCTTGGTCTCCATTAGAACCACAAAACATATAAATCCACAACTAGATTATATCCTTATTACGCGATCTTCAGTCTTCGTGTTCTGCATCTTCAAGGCCATTTTACATACATTTGCAAATCCTGGAAAAGCATGAACAGCGATCGGGCATTGCATGATGTTTTTTCATCGGATTCAACCTTCAAATATTTACTCATGGCCAGCTGCAAAAGAAAGTTCAAACGGAATGCAATATATATATCTACACAGGAATTACATCAGCAGTTTGACTTTCATCACATGTCAAAACAAGCCCGTCAATGTATGTTGGGAGGAGGCAGTGGACCCACTGACAGCCTGTTGAAACGGGCTCCGATGAGGGAACAATCATGAGAACATTGTCCTGGCGCCTAACAACCCCCATCACACTCACTGTGCTCCCTTCTTTAATATAACTGACATTCAAAGGCGATCAGTTGAAATCAGCTCAATCAAGAGAAGCAAAATCCCAAGATAATAACAAACTCAAAACAATATATTAGTGGCTCACCCTTCTTTGAGACGCATTACACGATCATCACTTGACAGGCTGCGGTCAGCAAGCCAGCGTAGAAAGCTTGGAGACAAGTCACGGTTTTCCTTCGTTATATCAACAATTGTTGTCGGTTTGACAAATGCAGCAGCCTTAGCTCCATAGCCTGCTTTTACTAGAGCTCTTAATCCAGATTGGAAGTCGGATATATAAAAATCCGTCACATATTTCTGTCCACAAGAAGCAAGAAAAGCTATTATAGTTATAACAGGACAGGTGCTTTTTTGGTTTCTATGCATGACTGCAGACATGGACAAAGCAAAAGAAACATGATTAATGGAATATTTTACAGTAGTAGACAAACTTTCAAGAAAAAAAAATATAATTATTTGGGGTGTGTTAGTCGACATGAACTAAGGGTGCCAAGAGGAGCAAGGCAAGGGACAAACCTAAATCATGAAACCTAGCAATTCCCCGTAAAGATTATACACCTATCATTAATGCAAACCTAATCTTTGGCATTGCTTGCTTAAAGTGATAGTGTTTGCACACTTTGCAACCCAAGCAATTCCCATAGAAAGTTCATACCTTCTAATGCCAGAGATTTTATTGGTTGCCTTTTTAATAGATTATTTATAAGTTACCCAGTTTGGTAATCCTTGTGCACAAAAAACAAGAAGTTTTAATGTTTTGTCATAAAAGTATAGTATGGAAATGCTCAAGCCAGCTGCATAGAAGCAATGAGCTCTTTAATGCATTCAAGCAACAATGAAACATCATTAGGGCATCAAATGGAACCAGGTGCAACGTTTCAGTATCAAGGGGAACCTAGGGGCACAATTACATAACCTTGGTTAGCTGGAGGCTGGTGGTTGGCACTGCATTGGATATGTAGCATCCACACACAGGTTCCCAAGGAGATAGTGCCTTGACAACCACACGGGATTCCTCTCATAGATAGTGCCTTGACAACCACACGGGATTCCTCTCATAGATTGCAGAGGATTTACCCATGGGTCCATTTGAAACTCATACAAAATGCTTCATGGTTCTTACTTGGCCACTTGGCATTCGCCAAATGAACCATCACAACCTAAAAAGTGTGAATATGGACATAAGATAAGGATGCAACACAATACAAACACATCAACAAAACAATTTTCAAAAAATCTAGACAGAGACACGGTGGAGACATTTTTATTTATTTTATGTAAATAATTACTAATAACTCATTTTTTATGTTAACATGTTAGAAAACAAGTGGGAATAGAAAGTCCAGATGTCTTGTATAGAGGCCAAAAATATTTGTAAACAAATTGGAAATTGTAACAGTTTAGTAATCCAACATGCGTCTGAAGGTGAAGCATATCCAATTTAAATATATATATATATATATATATATATATTAAAATGAAAAAGGGAATATTTAAAAGCATGTCTGACTGATGTTGATGCCAAAGTTGTTAAAATCGGAATCCTAAGTAAGATTGGTGAAAAGGTCTCGTGGATCGAATCGTAGGATCGGATTGAAAATCGTAAGATCCTATTTTCTATTAAAAAAAAAAAGATTAAAATACAAATTAAAATGATACATATTAAAAATAAGGTGAAAAATCACAAAATCTACGACACTACCTACAATCTTGCACGATCCCATACGATCCTACTTGCGATCATATTATAACATCGATCCTAGAACAAGTTGGATCATTTTAGCAATGTAGGATCTACAATCCAGATCGCGATTTTAATAACCATGGTCAATGCTTATTATACGATTTACCAAAGACGGAATTTTACAATTTAGGGGAGACTGTGGCCCTTTCAGCCCCCCTCTAATTCTGCCCTCGGTAACACTGATAACAAAAGCATCAAAGTCAACCAATTCAAGGCAACCATATTAGTTGTAGGTAATAAAGCAATTAGTTTATCACAAACAAAAGTAAGCATATAGCCAACAATGCCTAGTAGACTGATGGTACCAATTCATCTGTGCCTTCAATCCATCAATGTTGTCCTTAACAATGTAATTTAGTCTACATATCACATCAACAACGAAACTTAGAGGACCTTATTCTATTCAACAACATGAGATTAAAAAAAATAAAAAAAATTTAAAACCCACCCCAAAAATAAATAAATAACACTAACCTCTGCATGTCTACATCCCCATGAGAAGAAATGGTGTGTGGGACTTGCAGATTTCCCACCCCATCCTCTGTACTCTTGCAATTCTGTGGACACATATACACATCTTGGTACCCTCTGGAAAGATGATTCAAGAGGAATACTGCCACAAGTGACAACCTGCATAAAAAAAATGTGTAAGTGAGGATTATTAAGGCATTAATAATAATAATAATAAATAATAATAAAATAAAGGCTGACCTACCAATAAAGTCTAGGGTAGTGTTTGGTAGAATTTTAGAATTATGATTTGAGAATAGAGTTGTATTTTGAGTGTGTGAGTTTTGGAATTATGATTTGAGTGTGGAAAATTTGTTTGGTTATGAGTTTTGAAAAGAGTTTTAAATTGAGTTTGAATTGAGTGATGTAACATATGATATTTGATACAATTTGTGAGTTTTGGAATTATGATTTGAGTGTGAAAAATTTGTTTGGTTATGAGTTTTGAAAAGAGTTTAAATTGAGTTTGAATTAAGTGATGTGACATATGATATTTGATACAAAAACTTACAACTCATAACCAAACACACACTTCAAAATTCTATTCAAAGCTCTAAAAATTTTTTTAAAAAATTCACAAATATTTTTTTTGTAATATAAAAATAACAGGTGCACAAAAAAAAAACACTGTTCCGGACTGTTCCGGACGACCAGTGGGCCCAAATTTTCCCGCCTTGAAAAGAGTTTTCAAAAGTGAGTGTGAAAATTAATTTTTGAAAACATATTTTGAAAGCTCCACCAAACGGAGCCTAGGCTTTTCCCTGCTTTTTTTTTTCTTTTTCTTTTTCTTTTTCTTCTTTTCTTTTTATATATGTTTAACAGACACAAGGCATCATGTTCAGGTTACTCCATCACTTAAAGTTTAGATTCCACAAAAAATGAGATAACTTCATCACTCTTTATCTTCTCTCTTAAATTTTTAATGCACCAAAAGAGAAATGCAAAAGCTGGTTCTAGAACAAACAAAAGAAATAATAATATGTTACATGGACTTGGTTATGAGTGTTGGATGCAAGTATTTGTCAAATTCATCTAGTTCTCATATCCAATGGCACAGGAACAGAATTGTTTTCATATTTCTTAATATACTTCTTTTATTTTTCTACAGTAAAATGGTGTTTACAAGATGTTATATTACATTGCATGTGTAATATGAAGTTTTATGCATAGTTATATGTTAAACTTGAATTACTACACATGTCGAACACATATCCCATTCCTTTACACAAGTATCCAGTGTCTAACAAGGGGTACTTCATACATTTAGAAGAGTCCATCTAACTTACGACTCAGGTATGAGTATCGGATGTGGGTGTGTATCCAAGCCACATACCTCCCTAAACCCTTAATCTTAGCAAGCACACATATGAATCCAAAAGTTGAGTATGGGTACGAGGACACATTTTGAACTATTGAATAATCATATAATGTATATTATTTTGACTTAAGATGATGTTATTATTTAAGAATGTACTTTAAATTAAACGGGATTTATGAGAAAAAGTAGGTTTCTATTCTCTGCTATATATTATTCTTTACTACCAAATGTGAGCTTTTTTTCCCCTTCAAATATCATTAAAATTTAGAGGATTCAAGTGTCTAATTTGGATAAGGGGTCGGACACATATCTCATATCCTTACCCACGTCATATCCTATGAAAACTGATACAATGGGCAAATGGAAGAGTCCATGTAGCACTGACATTCAATCTATTGTTATAATAACCAGGTCCAACAGAAAAATAAATATAAATAATAATAATAATCTTTAAAATGAACATTAGTGAATTTATTACAATAATGGGTCTGAAAGGTGATATTGAACCA